TGTTTCATTCAAAAGCATGTAGCTACTTTCCAGGTTTGTTTCTACTGTTAGCAGCATAACTCTGTAAGAACTCCAAATATTTCTGGTTGAAATATCTGATTAAATGGCTTGATCTTTGCATTAAGTGTTTTTTAATATTCACATTAATGTTACTTGCTTCTCTTTCCTTCAACTGGTATCATCTCGCTCTGCTCCTGGCTGGGGAGAGTGACTCTGCCTGGTCCCTTCAGCTCCACGTCTCGCTATCTCTGTGTTTGACAAACAGAGCGTCTGATACCACATCCCAAGTGCTCTTCATTCACTGCCAGCTATTATTAAATAAACCAGAAGCAAAACATAAGATCCCACTGCACCTTTAATTCAGAAACTCTTCTGTTAGAAGCATTTAGCTGAGCCACTGTTTGTTCGGCTGCACGTACTCCGAATTGCCCTCAGCAACAAAGAGACACACATAAAAAAGGAACACTGCATTTAAATGAAGACTAATTTTAAGAGCTGCATATTTAATAGAGAAAGCAGTCCCTGAAGATGTCAGCTGCTGGAGGAATGCATTGGCAAGTCATACTTGAGAAAAGATAAGCTTTTCCTAGGGGGTTTTATGGCTTTGAAGGGAAAGAGTTCACTAGACCAAGTCGATGGACAAACGAGTGCTCACAGAGAGCACAACTTCTACACAGTGGTGTAAAGGAAAACCACTGTGGCTTTTTTTTCCCCTCGCTGGAAGTATTTCAAAGGTCATGCTTACATACACAAGGGCTTCAGGACTCATTTTAGCAACGTAATAAAAAACTACAGGCTATGTATTTACTAGCAGTTTTGTCTGAAGGATAGCAAGAGAGGAGACAGGGACAAACTGTATGCAGAACAAGCCCAGCAGTGTCACACAAATAGCCGAGAAGCGCCCATCACTCCGAAGCACAACAAAACCATCACTGCTCTCTATTCCCTCTTGAGACTTGCACCTCGCTGCACACACAGAGGGCTCGGTTCATGGAGCTGAGCTGTTTGTCAGTCAGGACTGCTGAAAAGCTGTCACGCGTTCCGCAAATGGCAAGCCCGGCTCGGTGGGTGGTGAGGAGAGGACCTCCCTTCCTCCTTTCCTTTTCCTCTTTTCCTCCCTTCCTGGCACCCCAGGCGAATCCTGCTCCCTCCCAGGCACAGCACAGGAATTCCAGCAGTGCCTGGGATCCTGGTGTGCCAACCAGAACCACCCCCAAAACCCTTAAACCTTCCCTGACTTCTAATTCATTCAGAGAACGTTCAAGATGCAGCACCCATGCCCCTTTCACAGGTCCAGTTCTTAATTTTCAGGCTTCTCCAATTGTACCTGTACCAGTAGGAGGACGGGGGGAGTAATCCGTAGAATGAATGAAATGGGAAGATTCAGCCAACATCAGCCTCATGGGATGTAAAAATTTAAGAGAGCAGCCACCGATACTCATGCCATCATTCAGTGTACACTTAAAGATGCACCACTGACACAGACAAAAAGCTCTTTTAAATACAGCAATAAATAAAGATATTTTTAAAGTCCTAAATCCCTGCACATGATTAATGGTACCTTGAAACACTCAGGAGTTTTTGGTGTACCTTTAGAGCAGAACAGTGGAAAGGTATATTCTATTTATTGATATAGAACACTCAAATCCTAGCTAGCTGTGGATTATAACAGCTAGGCTTAACCCTGGAAGGTGTGTACTAAGAAGCTTTCTTTTTTCCCCTTGTTTCAACAACTTGTTTCACTTAGTGGGCAGGACAAAAACCTGTCTTTCTTCAGGAGATGTGTTTCTTGATGGCCTACAACACAGTTACATCAGCCAAACCTGCTGTTTCTCTTCATGCACTTTCATCAAGCCAGAGCTGGACACGCACCTGAATCATACAGCAGATTTGGTAACTGTGACTGTACTTTACATAGTGCTGCTTAAAGGAGAATGCTCAAGAGATGAGGGTTAAATAAATGAAAATCTACCCTTGCTACTTTTGAGCAGCATCACAGAGAAGTGGGAAAATGAGGCAATGACTTCTAGTCCCACTGGTTTTCAATTCTATGCTCACAGCTCCTTTAATATGCTTAAAACTTAGTCCAGGTTAAGAGAAGAGAATTTGCCTGGTCAGCCCAGCAGTCAGCTCTGAAACTGGTCTGAAACGCAGTGAGGACAGCTCACACATCACCAGCCTGATACTGCAGGCTGCAGTCCCTCCAAGACTAACATCCATCCACCCATCCATCCGGATACTCATTACAGACACTTGAATCTGAAAACTCAGCACCCTGAAAAGCAGCTGTTGCACAAACTTAGGAAGTTTCCAAAGGGGACAGCTACTTCTTGGGCCATCTCTGCCCTGCTGGCAGCTCAATCAGCAGTTAAGTGATGCAAGTCTGCAAAACCCCACGGTAACCCGCACACGCCGCAGAGGCTGTACGTGCTGATCTCATGGCACCCCAGACACAACCTATCCCACTTTGTTCACATCTCCTCCCATTTTGAGGTTGCTCAGACTGAGCAAAGTTAAAGAGTCTGTATCTGCACCCATATACAAGACCAGAGTATTTTATAAATGCAGGTTTTAAACTCTTTACAGCTCTCACAAGTATCACAACAAGGAACTCGCTTGAGGAAAAAAGCCTTTTTATTTATAATCTTCATGAGTATAGATGTTCACATCCCATTTCCCCTCAGTGTTAAAATCTCCAGAAGCCCAGTGAGAAATCAGACTGACAAGTAAGTTTGAAAGTGCAACAGTCAGAACTGTAGGAAACTCTCACTGTTACCATCAGTATTTTACCACTGCCACAGTTTTGAGCTGATGAAGGACTAAATCCTCAGTCCAAATGAACCAGGGAGTTGCTGTAAACCAGAGAAGATGAGTGTGGGGCACAATGTCAAAAGCCCATCTCTGTGTCCCAGGGTTAAGAGTCTCAGTCCTGAACCTGTTCCACAGTCTTTGCATTTTACTAATGAGTTTACGAAGGGGATGAACAAGAATGGCCACAAATAAACCCAGGAGAGCCCCCCCCCCCCCCACAAGGCCAGAGGTTCTACCACCACAGGCTGCTGGTTCTGAAAGAAACCCATGGGAAATAACTGTATCTGACCCATTTCCAGCAGGCAGTTAATTATAATTAGAAAAACCACATTGATAAGGTAAGCAGAGTGACAAAGGCTGATGGGATAAAAGGTTGAAATTTCTGGGCACAAAGCAGACGCACAACCTCAACTCTGGCTGTACAACACACAGAAAACCAGATTTCAAGCATCAAAACCCCAGAGCTCTCACCAACGCTGAACTCATATAAAAATGGAGGGAGAATCAATCCGCTATAACCCACTTCAGGACATTTATATTATGTTTTATTAGCCAACACGTAACCTTTCAGGATGACTTAAGCGCTCAAAGCAGCCAGCTCAGCTGCACAGCACCACACAAGAAGTGTATGAGGCAGACCAAGCTCTAACAGACCAATCTGCGCTCAGAAAGAACCACACCGCCTTATCAACATCCTATTATCTTTGATTTACAAAAAGTCATGATCCCCTATGCTCTGATAAGAGGCTATATCAGATGTACCACAAAACTGGAGCGTATACAGGGTAGAACTCCCAAACCAAGTATATTCATGGTTATTTTCACTGATATTTATTTACATTGAGCTTCAGAGTTTGAACATAATGATCCTACCTATCAAAGCAGCAACCAGGGAAAACAATTCACAGCACCATCCCGTTCATGCCCACAGACTTCCTAAAATCCATAGGTAAATGACATCGGCATTAGGCTCGCTTCTAACCCCCAGTTCCAAGTCTTTTAGCTAAAGCCTTCGGTGGGTTTAGCCGGATTTCATTTTAAAAGGTACTGTAAAGAAACAAGGCTTCAAACCGTGCACGTAATGCTCCCCGGCACACGTGAGCACATCTGTAATTAATGGCTCTAAACAGAACTGTTCCCAGTTGGCATCTTTATCCCTCCTTCAGATGGGACTAGAAAGCTTTGGCTAAGGGAGGAGATGACCTCGGGAGGAAGGATACACAGGACTTGCTGACAGAGTTAAAGGCCAGCAGGTAAGAAGTGGTGACAGGTTCAATAAGCCTTAGGTTACAATGAACTGCTGCCGATTGCCGAGTGACCGAGGGACAGAACCCCCCACAGATCACAGCGCTCGCAACTTCCTACGGCCTAACACAGAGCACAGCAAAACCAGACCAAAACCCAAGCGTAGTTTATACCTAGCACACTTTGGATCAAGTCTCCAAGCCGCAGCTCTGCGTTTAAAACGCTAAATAAGCCTCCAGCAGTAGGAACGATGGAAAATCGACCGGAAATAAAGAGAAAAAAGGCCTAAAAAATCATTAAAAATAAGGATAATTAAAACCCAGGAGCTCCATAGGCACAGACCTCCCTTCCCGCAGGGCCCTGCCCAGGAAGAAGGCGTTCTCCCCGCTCCCTGCCCGGGGGCACCTCACACCATCGGGGCCCGGTCCTCACAGCATGGGGGGGGGTCGGCCTTTACCTTCCCCCCCCCCATTCCCACAGCGGCCCCCGCGGAATGAAATCCAAAAAATAATTAAAAATAATAATAATTAAAAATGACAATTGGGGGGGGGGGGGGGGGGAGGCGCCTTTTTTTACCCTCCTGGCTCGTCCCGCCGCGGCCGTCACAAGCCTCCTCCCGCCCCGCGCTCGGCGACAAAATGGCAGCCCCGGCGGCTGGCAGTCATGTCGGAGAGGGCGCCCGCCCGTCCGCCCGCAGCGCCGAAGGGGAGGCCCCCTCCGCCCATGTCGCACCTCCACACACCCGCGGGCACAGCCACACCGGGCGGGAGGGAGGGAGGGAGGCGGCCGGGATGGGGCTCCCCTCACGGCTCCGAAGCCAGCGCCCGGCCGTTCCCTCGCTGCGGCTGAGGAGGAGGAGGAGGAGGAGGAAGAGGGAAGCGAGGGGAGGAGGGGGGGAGGCAAAAAACATGGCGCCGCGTCCTACTTGCGGTGTGGCGCTGGCAGCGCGGGGCCAGCGGCGGCCCGGCGGGGCGGCCTCAGTGTGCCCCCCGCGCCCCAGCCACCGGCCGGGGCTCAGCCTCACGGCCCGCCGGGGACGGCGGCCTGTGCCGCGGCGGTGGCGGGAGCCCTCCTCCCCTTTCCTTCTCCCGTCCTCCTCCTCCTGGCCCAGGAGTTTTTAAACTTTAAAGCGCAGGGTACCTCGGCCTGCCCGCCTTTGTCCCCCGGACACCGCGCTCGGCCACCGGCAACCCGCGGGGCCGCGTCCCGCCGCCTCGCCTCCGCCCTACCCCCAGAGAGGTACGTTCCCCCCCTTCTTCCCCTTTCCCCTTCCGCGGCGGGGCCCGAGGCGCACCTCGCCCTCCACGGCCATTATGCAAGGGCCTGGCGGCGGCGGCGGCCCCGCTGCCCTGGCGACCCGGGTTCGAGCCCCGCCAGGCGGGTTGGGGGCCGCGCCTGCTCCGCTCTGTCGTCCGTCCCCCCCCCCCCACCTCCGCCACCAGCTCCATCGCGGCGGGGTTGAATTATGATCATTAACATTGTGTTATTAATTTTTTTTGTCCTGACAAAGTTTTTCTCGCTCTCTCGTTTATTCCGCCACACGCGGAACAACAACCTGAAGTCCGGCCCCAGGGGAAACGGGGGGGGGGGGGGGGGAAACGGAGGAAAAGGGAAGAGAAGGAGGGGGGGGGAAGAAGAGAAAAACACGCACACGCACACATCCAGCCTTTTTGTGCGTGTGTGGGGATGGAGGGGGTGGAGAGTGCGTGTATTTCGTGCCAGAATTTATTATTATTATTATTAATTCAACGCTCGCGCTACCGGCGGCGATTCCCGATCGCTGCCCCCCCCCCCCCCCTTAAAAAAAAGACCAACCCAACCCCGCCGAGCATTGCCTTAAAAATTCTTTTCCTTTTATCTTCTCAGCATCTGGAGAGAGGGAAAAGAGGGAAGAGAGAGAGAAAGGGCGCGTTCATGAGGACTACAAAGTTACAAATATGGCTCCCCAGTCTCTCCTGCCTGATCACTGCAAAGAAACGAAGACGCACTTTAAACTAAACCGTTTCCAACTCGCTCGCAGCCCCCGCCGGCCTCTCCCTGCCCAGCACCCAGCACAAATATTTGCCAACTAAACACGAGAGAGAGGAGCCACCAACTTATTTTATTTAAACGCCCGGCAGACCTTCCCCCCCCCCCCCCCCTCCGCCCGCCCGCCCCCCCCCTCCTCGGGCATCGCGCTCGGTTTAAGGGGAGGGGGGGTCAGGAGCAGCCGCTGCTCCCCAACATCCCTCCTTTAGACCTTAACGCGCTCGGGGCACCCCGAATCGGGGTGAGCCCCCCATCCCCTCCGCGCACAGGTAAGCACCTCAAGGGCAGCAGCGGTTTCCCCCTCGAGGGGTTGGGATGCGCACCCCTTACCAACAAAAATAAGATAATAAAAATAAACGCGGGATGGGTTTTTATTATTATCATGATTATTATTATCATTATTTTTGCGTTGCTTACATCTGAGGGCGTCCTGTTCCGCAGCTCTAAGTGGATCCTTTTCTTCATGTCCATGTCCGCGGCTGGCGGTCCCCGGCTCCGCTCGCAGTGACACCGATGCAGACCCCCCCCGACGCCGCGGTGAGGGACTTTGAGGGCTCACCCAGCTCCGCTCGGAATCCCGAGCCCCAGCACCGCGGCGAACACTAACCTGATAACTGCGGAGGCGGGCGCTCCCGGGGGCTCCGCGCTGATTGACACCGCCAACAGCCAATCGCCGCGCCGCACCGCGAAGCCGGAGCCAATAGGGGCGGGCGAGGGGAGGTGGAAGCCAATAGGGGAGCGGCGAAAGCGGCCAGGGGGACAGCCCGGCTGGGAGCGGAGGATCATTCCGTGCTGGTGGCTGATGGGGAAGGAGCGGCGGCGGCGACGGCTCCTCCGCGCTGGGGCTGGGGTTCGCTCTGCCGCCGCTCCCCCTCCGCGCCCGGTCGGACCCCGGGGGAGGCGCCGGGGCGCGGGGCGGGGAGCGGCGCTTAGAGCCGGAGGCAGCCCGGGCACAGGGGCGAGCAGCCAGGAGGGAGGGAAAGGTGCGGAGCGGGGCGGCGGAGCGCGGAGCAATGGCGCGGGGGCCGCCGGCGGGGCGGGGCGGCGGGCGGGAGGTGGGGCGCCGATCTCCTTAGCGGCCGTGAGGGGAGGCGAGGCCGGGCCGGGCCTCTCCAGCGGGCCCTCAGCGGCTTCCCCGCGGGCGGGCCGGGTGCGGTACCGGGTAAGGGTGCGGGCGGTGCGGGTGAGCTCGGTCCGCGCGGGGTATTGCTGCTTGGAGCGGCCTTTTCGGGTTAGCGGCGTGCTGAGGGCAGCGAGAGGGGGCCCAGGGAGGCGCTGGGCCAGAGGAGTCCCGAGTCGCTGCGTTCCCTGCCTGGGAAGCGGCTTTGGAGCCGTTTGTAGCCGCTCTGAGGGTGTTTGCTTGGCGCGCTTGCCGCTGAGCACGGCTGGTGTCGGGTGAGGCGGTGGGACGGGGCCTGGGTGGCAATAGCTGGGTCGGTTTCCTGCGTCTTCTGCCAAGCAGGCTTGTGAATGAGGTGGCGGGGATGTCCTGGCAGGGCTTGCTCTCTGCGCCAGGTATCTGCGCCACGGTTCCCCCGTGCTTCTTGTCTCCACGTATTTGCAGCTGGCTTTAGCAAGCATAGGGGACCGGTTTCGTCGGGTGCACAGGTGCTTTCGTTTGCTCAGTGAGATTCCTGCTTGCCCCCTTGGTTTTGGTGCGCTTGTTACCCTTGGTTTTGCCTCAGGTGGCTGTAAAAGCCCCTCAGAGCCGTTTGTCGATATCCACAAAGGTGGGGATTGCTGGAAAACTGCCTTGTCCAACTGTTTTGCAGGGCAGGATGGAGATGCTTCTTTCACCTGCCTTGACAGCGGATAAACTGTGATGAAAGTGATTGACAGCTAAGCACAAGCTCTGCTGAGAGCTGGGAGAAAGGTCAAGCTGGATCCAGCTTAAGGTAAAAAGCGGAGCTTCTAGTACAGAGCCACCAGTATTTTGCAACAGGTTAATGCTTCTGTGATGGTTTGGGGCCTCATGATTTCTCTATTAGAGCCGTTCGGTTTGGTTGTGTCTGTGGCGTGAGCAAGTAACTCCATTTATTGCTCTGTGGCACTGGTTACAACATAACGGAGCTTATTGCAGTACTTCTAGGGTATAAACTTTATGAAGTGTTTAGGACTTTGGGTCGTGGTGACTTTTACTTTAGCTCTGCTTTAAATTCTCCTTCGCAGGTGTGAACAAAGGTGGCCCCTGGGCTGAGGCTTCCCAAAGGAAGGTTTGGGCTGGAAGTTTGTGTTCATGGCACTGGTGAAGACCTTTGGAAAAGAACTTTTATCATGGAAACAGTGTCTGTTAAGTAGCCAACATAGCAGTTAAAGTTTCTGAGGATGTGGAGATACTTTTTCCTTTGTTTCCTCGGATGAAAGAGCGTGTTGTGTGTTCTAATGGTATGGAATTGTATAAAGTGCCCCCCTCCAAAGGGTTGGGGGGAACTTACTCGAAGTTCAGACTCGACATTAAATGTTTTAACCTGTTGGTTTCCCCTCTGCCTCATTCATGTGCATGCTGCTTGTGTCACAAGGAGTTGGGAAGCCTCAAGAGCTGTTCGGAGAGCTAAAAAGGAATGGAAATGTTCCACAAATAAATGTTAAGTGATGCTTTTGCAAACTAAAGCTTTTCTTAAACAGGAACAGAAAAATCTGGTCACTGGACTGATACTTTTAGGATACAAAAGAAAGTGAATCAGCTTTAAAACTGGACATGATCATGCCGTTTAACTGAGGATCCCCCTTTGTAATAGAGGAGGAAACTTACATGTTGATGAAGCACTCCTTGGTCTTAGTTGAGGAGTTTTTGTTAAGTGTTTCTGTGAATAAAGCTGTTGAACTGTTATAGATCCCATTGATCAGAAATGCCTCTGTGTATGGAACGCTGGCTTGTCGGAGTCCTGAGCACAGCAAGTGCTCTGAGCCCTGCTTGCACTGGCGGGAAGCTGCTCTGTAGGATCCCTGCTCAATCCCCACTTGGAACATCAAAACATCCTCTGTTCGTATCTGTACGTGCTGCTTTTTAAATCTGAAGTACAAAGAAGTTCCTATTGTGACTAATGGTGATCACTATAGTGAATGTTTGATTCTTTTTTTTTGTATGTGGTTCACATACTTATCCAGTTTCTCCATTGCTCAAAGTGATCTGCTGTTAACTGTCTGCAAGGGAAGTTCTGAACACAGGTTTGAAGCTGATCCAGAATCCTGGGCCAAAACCTAACGCACTGGAACACTCGCTGTAGGAGCCCTTCAGTGATGGCTGAGCCTGAGTTAGGTTTTCATGTGCTGCTCTATGATCATCGTCCAGGTATTTTCTGATCCAGCTTTAGAACCTACTTAATGTAACTGCAGTTTGGCCAATGAGGTGATTTCAGCTGCAGTTCCTGTGTTGGTATGGATGGTTTCTTTTTTTAACATGAATACTGCAGCCTTACATTAACACCAGCTTCAGACGAAGGGCTCCTCTGCATTAAGCATCAGCCTCGTGTGAAATCCTGTGTTCTGTGTCTGTACAATTGCTGGGCAGCTGAGTGTTTGCCAAAATGATTGTTTTTATTGTGGCTCATAATACTCCTTTGTAGATCTGCTGGGGTCTTGTTTGTCCCTGCTGCATCTAGACAAAGCCTGCCTTCATGTTGGGGGTAGCATCTTCTTCAGTCACTTCTGTGTATGTAGATACAGTAACTGGAAAGAGATAATTCTGTTCTTAAATCATCCTTCTTGTCACCCTTAACTTCCCCACCTGCAGCATAGCTGGAGGATGGTCATTGAGGGCAATGCAGAACAGTATTGACTGCTGGTATCCAGGAATTCTGGGGAAAGGGGACAAAAATGGGCATTGGGAAACTATGTAAGTTTTGTGACAATGCCAGTTTATGCTTTGAGACCCTTAAAATCAATAGGGGAGTGCTGCAGGTGGAATAAAAAGAGGAGGAAAGAGCAACTCCAGACGTTGGATGAGCGAGGTCTGGAGCTTACAGCTGCTCTGAGAGGCTGGATGCTGGTGCTGTGCATTTGTCTGTTGTTTAAATCTCCCAGCAGTGGTTAGCAAGGTGTAAACTGAGCGATCAAATCTAAACCCAGAAGGGCTCTTGTCTGCTGTTATTTGCTCTTTCCTTTCTCTAATCAGCCCTTTGAGGTTGTTGGGCAAGTTCCAGTGTTTTTTCTGTGCTTGCTTCTGGGACTGGTGTGTAATTGCTCTGGAATACAAGTGATTCCCATTGGATTCTGCATTAATTGTTCACAAACATCCCACATTTGTGTCACTATATTCTGTTTTCAGCAGTGCTTCAAGTGAGAGGTTGATACTCAGGTGGGAAGCTTGAACAAGACATGAAGAAAGGTTATTTAGACAACCTATAGCCTGGGAAGCAGCTGCTTTAAGTTGGCAGACTAGGAGAGGAGGTGAATACTTGTGATATGTCTCAAAACTGGCTTTTATTTCCCCAGAGTTGAGTGTAGGATGCTATTTCCCTTTTTATTTGCACGCTATCAGGCGTACGAGTGGAGCATAGACATCCATAATTAATGAAACAAGGGAAGAAATGGTTTCACACAGTTTTGCTGGTCTTCAGGAGCAGACTGGTCAATACATACACCCATAAACCTTCCCTAGCTTGGACACTGGTGTTTAACGTAGCTTAAGGAGCTCTCTGCAGGTCTCTTGCAGTAATTGTCCCTCCCTGGTTCTGTTTGCCAAACGTGCTTTTATTTCCTACCAAAAGTGGCTGTCGCAGCTGGCATAATTTAGGAGGGGGTTCAGGTGAGTTTTGGAGGGGATTTTGGTATGTTCTGTGTTTTTTCAACCAGGAGACACGCTGTAAATCATCCCTTTTTGTGTGGAAAGGATGCTTAAGAGCGTTCATTAAGTTTATTTTTCAGCGTTTTTTAGACATGCGGGCAATTCCTCACATAAACTGGCAAATTCCTGAAGCATTCATCTTTTGATGATGAAGGTAAGATGACATCGTTACAAATAAGTGCTTTTTTATGGCTGTGATATTTCATTTTATTGTACAGGATTTAACAGATGAAAAATAATTGTTCAGTTCCAGTGGCTTCTCATCCGTATTACTTAGTCTGTAACATTCAGATTCACAGCAGCCACCCTTACTGCTGTTGGTCTTCTTTTTATGAGCTGTCCCATCCATGATCAACCTCAGAACTCTTAAATCCCATGAATTAGACACTGTGAGGCACAAATAGTCTGGATTATCTTCATTGCTACATAAAGCTTTAGGGTGATCTGGGGGAAAAAGTCCTAACTTAAAGACATAGCTTAAGTTTGAAGTCTGAGGGGGCCACGCAGCTTCCTGAGTAGCTTGCAGGGAATCAAAGTACATTGACTTGTTGGACAGGAGACAACGGGAAATCAGCATTGGTAGTGTTATTTTAGCCTGCAATACATCTGTGAGTGGGTCAGCACAGAAGGGGGAAAAGAACTGTAGAGGTTCTTGTAGAGCTGCTGATGAATTCCTTTCAAACAGCTGATAAATTCAGCTGTGCTATGGCAGAATAAAACACAGAATTGGAGGTAGGAAGGAAAAATGCCAGGTTTTAGCACAAAAAGCTTTGGAAGGTTACATACCAAAATTCCAAGCTAAAACGTGTGTTAATGTATTTTGTAACTGAGGTGGAAAATAACAGCAAAGGATGATGCCAAAATGAAGTTTATTGAGGGCACTTTTCAGGATTGATTTGGCTGTTCCTGAAGATGGTGAAAGGCATCTGGAGGACCCTAAAATGGGAAATTCCCGTTCTTGTCAAATCTCTGTGTGTTGGGGTAAATAGGAAGGTGGTTTGGGTGGTTTTGGTAGCAGTTTGTCTGAGCAGCTTAAAGCACCAAGAACGTGATGTCAGGTCTTTACAGAGCCTGCACACCAGTGAACATAGGTAAAAGTACAGCAGTCATCCTGTGCTCTGGGACTTCCAAGAACTAGCAGCATTTGACCAGTTCTGCCCTTTTCCAGGGGAAAAAGGGGAAATAAACTTGTAGTTTTTATACCTTCCAGAATGATTAGGTTTTGATTTAGCACAAGTACTTAAGATGGGAGTGCATTTCTTTTCTGCGCTCAAAAGCACCTGCTGTAGAAAGCGTGTATTGTAGGGAACTTGCTGCAGTGGATGTGGGAGCTTTCATGTCTGATGGTTTAAGTAGTGAAGATAAGTGAGGACGGTTCTTGGGCAGGGGAATGTGATTCATGGGATGTAGTTAACTGGTGTAATGACCAGCGCAGCTGTTGTAGGAGCCTCTGCCAGGACTGCAAACATCCACTGTGTCCAATGCTCTGCTGGATGTAGTGTGAGTGAGAAAGGTGGGAGCAGTAGGAGGGTAATGCCTTCTTCTGCTTGCCAGCTTCAGACCAGCATGGATGGAGCTGTTTCTGCTTCCCAGCTTTTCCTCAAGTGTTTAGGCTGGGCTGAAATCTTGGAATTGGAATTTGGTAAGGTTTTGGGTTGTGTTTTCTGTAAGTAATCATGCAAGGGCTGGGATTCTGAGGGACTGAATTGCTTTGATAAGGAGTAAAACTTGTTGAATTCAGGCAAGGCAAAACCCCAACCCTTAAACATAAATACCTTCTACTTCTGCACTCCCATTATGCAAGGTTTCATTTCAGTAATACATTATTTCAGTGCTGTAATAAATAGGGCTTTCCGACTTCCCTCTGTGGTATTACTTCCTATTTGCCATTCCTTAAGCTGTAGGTCAGACTATTCATTAATTAATAGTTGTTTCCTGTTACGTTGAATGGAACACTTCCAGATTTGATTCCAAATGGAATTTGGAGTGAGAAGCTCTTGAAGAACTTGTGGGTAAAAGGGTGAGGAATGTTCTAGACCCAGGCTTCCTTTTCCTATGAATTTCTAGTTTAAATGAGAAAAAGACTTCTTTCACTGGGAAGTGTTGGACTTCTGAAGTACTGACCCCAAACTGTTCTTTTCTCTCACTAATGTGCCACCAAACCTCACTTTTCTAGCACTCTAAAGTGTGCTTTCCATCTGCAGTTGTTACAGGGAGTTGCCAAAGGTCAAAGAGGGGTCTGGAATTCAGGAGCTTTGCCTTTCATCATCAGAGCAGCCTGGTTCACTGCCTAACCCCAGCATCTGCATTATCAGAGCATCACATTTCACCTGTGCAGTAGGAATCATTACTCTGTCCTATTTAAGAGGCTGCTTGCCTTCCTTCCTGGCTCTTCTGAGCTATCAGCAACCCATACATCCACACATGCAAGCGCCCTGATTTCATTCAGTCTTCCTTATCCTCCTCAAGGCATCTCCAGGTTCGTTCTTCTCAACTCCCATATGCCTGTTGCTTCACTTCTGGCACTTCCACCTCCTCTTTCTTAAGACCTTGCCTCCTACAGCTTGTTTGGCATCCTAAAGCAGAGGCTTTGTGGATGCGGGAAAGGGGGAGAGAGGGAAGGGGAAGTTGTACAAAGTCATCACCAGATTTCATGGAAATGCTCTGTAAACATCCCTCACTGTTG